AAAGTAATTTAAAAATACATGTGTAAAAAACTGTACCAAAATGAAATGCAGCCAGTGTACAGTATACAAAATCTTTCCATCATCCTTATAATGTAAACAGTATTTCTTAAATTTTCCATTTTAAAACTCAACCTACAGGCAAATTAGGAAAAACTTAAGTATGGTTAAAGAACAACATGAAACTCCTAATTTCCAGGTACTACACTGAATACATGGGGAGACTAAAAAGAAATAGTAAACTCAGAAACTTTAGGACAGAAACTGGGAGGAATCAAACAGAATGACTCACAGGAAGCTATCGAAACAGAAGAGACACAGCTGTGCAAAGGGAAATTCTGCTTCAGAAGACGATGTCCCTAGCTAGAGAAAGAACGCCCTAGGTGGGCAGTGCATCTTAGAGAAATAGGCGGCACAGCTAGAAGATCAGCCTTCAAGGTGCCCTGACTATGAAGAAAACAATCTTTCTTGCAGTCATTAAAAAGAGTATGTTGTAGCACTAATTCTTTGCTTCCTACAGTCTAATAGGGAATCCCAAGGGCAATGATTATCTCATATTCAAGAATAACCAGACATTTAAGGGGAACCAACTCATTGAAAAACAGAAAAGAATTCAACAAATGAATAACTTATATCAGAAGAAACAGTGTTACTAAAACTCATAAGGTGGCTTGGTAATTAAGAAGAATTAATAGAATAATTATAATAGGACTTTATTAAGAGTATACTTATTAATATAATTTTCAATTTTTTAAGTTATCATGATTTATAATGCAACCATGCATTTACTATTCTCGGAGTGGTAAGAAAGAATATAGACAATATTGGTCCAAGAAACCAGAATAAGCAGCAAAGAAAAATGACCACAAAAAATGAAACAAAAAAACAAAAGAAAGAAAAATGACCACATAGTGATTTTAGAAATAAAATATATGCTAATTTTTTCAAACAGCTGAAAAAGGAAATTAACTACCATATATACTCAAATATAAGGCGACCTGAATATCAGTCGTGGCACCTAATTTTACCACAAAAAACTGCTTAAAAAATGTGCTGACAAACTTGGCTTATACACGAATATATACGGTAAATAAAAGAATAGGCCAAGAAACTACCAGAATATGGTGTAAACAATAAAGATCCCAAAAGTATAAAATAAAACTCAAGACATATGGAGAATGGAAGCAGTATAACAACTAAAGAAGCATTCTAGACAAAGATAATTAGAGACTAAAGGAACAGATTGAACAATAAATAAAATACAATTGAGCAAATAATGGTTGATAATTGTCCACATTGAGAAAATATATGTCTCAGATTGTAAAGGTCCATGGTATGGCAAAAAAAGGTCAAACTTATAAAACTAACATGGAACACTGCAGAAAAATACCCAGCAACATGGACTAGTCTTAAAATATCATGGTGAGTGAAAAATTATTGAGAAACTGTATCAATTTGGTCTACAGAATAATACCATTTTTAACACCTACAGTGAACCCTCGCCACTTCGCGCTTCAACTTCCGCGGCTTCACTCTATCGCGGTTTTTGCGTAACAGCGCATGCT